CCCTCGTTTCTGAATGAGCCTTTCTGCTGTTCATCCTGAAAGGACCCTAACCTTCCTCAACCCATCGCTGAGTCCTCCTCAACCCGTCATGCAGGTCCACCACAGCTCGGAGGAAGCTGTCTTGGATTAGGAACGTTGCTGGAATCGGAGGAAGCTGTCTTGGATTAGGAACGTTGCTGGAAGGTGGCACCCCTTCCCCGTGGGCACGTACCTTGTTTAGGGTTTCTCTGTAAAGCTGTTGGGCATTCTTGCCCCTCTCGGATGGTTTCACTGCGTAGTTCAGGATGTCGGGGTTTTTGTTCGCTTCCCCAGCTCTCGCCCGGACGCCGTTCACAAAGTACCAGGCTCTGTCGTCGGTCAGCCTGAACGGGTTTAGCTTCAGGCCAAACTGCTTAATGAATTCACGGACGAGCCTAGAAAAGACGAGAGCGCGGGGGGACAGGCCCTTTGCGAACAACCAAACCGTTCCAAGCGTGAAAGGACGCTTTCCCCTTGACTCTGTCGGTGTAGCCGCGTGTCGTTTTGGCTCGTGAGTGGAGGCTGGGGCTGTTCAGGGCGCCGATGCCTCCGGTTCCTGCTGCTGCCTGCGCCCAGCTCAGCGCGGCCACCACGGGGCCGTGCAGAAAGGTGCCCTTCGGCTCGTGTTCCCTCCGGCTACCGGCTGCCCAAAGAGGCCACCGGGAGTAAGAGCAACGCCCTGCTGAGGGAGGAGTCAGGGGGTTCCTGTGGCCCCAGCCCTCCTCCTTGGCGCGTGGCAGGGTTGGGGACCCGCCTACAGGCTCTTCACGTAGCGTTTTGGCTGACCACTGAGCCCTGCTTGACTCCACCCTCTCGGAGAGCCCAGCTTGGGCGCCCTCTCCATCAGACCCGTGGGAAACTAACTCATCTTCTGACGTTGCGGCTTCCAAAACAGAGGTCTGGCCGTGATGCAGAGGGAAGAGGTGGTCTTTCGCTCTCCCAGCTCAAATGCGGGTGACTCCGTGGGTTTTGTCCCTTCTACGCGGACGCTGAGCTCTGGGGGAGAGATGGGGCAGGCGGCTCCTCCCTCCTGCTGTGCTGTACCCACGTCCAGGTCCCCAGCCCCAGCTCAAACCGCGGCCTTGCTCCTCAAAAGCCTTACCTGTGCTTGCCTGGCAGGCGCATGGCTCCCAGCTCCACGTACCAGTCCTGTCCCTCCGGTCGGTACGTCTTGATCCGCCCGCCCACCCGATCGCTCATTTCCAGAACGGTGACCTGAAACCAGGGATGGGCTGGAGTTTGCGGGGGGTTCAGGCAACGACTGGTTTTAAGCAAACCACCTACAAAGCAAGTTCACTTTGGCAGGCGGCGTTCACGGCCCGTGGGGCGGGACGGGTCCCCTCCAGGTGGCACACGAACCACCCCTAGATCCAACCCCTTCTCTGTATTGTACATTTTCTCCTCCTTAGCGGAGGATAAAAGACCCAAGGGCACTCACGGCCCTCAGGCGACTACTTACATTGTGGCCCGCATCTCGGAGCAGCTTCGCTGCTGTAAGCCCGCTTATTCCGTTCACGGCCCGTGGGGCGGGACGGGTCCCCTCCAGGTGGCACACGAACCACCCCTAGATCCAACCCCTTCTCTGTATTGTACATTTTCTCCTCCTTAGCGGAGGATAAAAGACCCAAGGGCACTCACGGCCCTCAGGCGACTACTTACATTGTGGCCCGCATCTCGGAGCAGCTTCGCTGCTGTAAGCCCGCTTATTCCTGCGCCAGCGACGACCACGTTTGCTGGACGAGCTGCCTTGCCCAGCCCGTTTCTGACGATCTTCAGCAGATCCTCATAGTCTCGGTCATGAAGGCAATATTCAGGGAAACCTGAAAACCTCTTCGCGCTTAGGAGCCCTACCAGGAGGAGTATTTGGAAGAGGACTAGGGAGAGAAGAAAAGAGGAGAAGAAAATAACTCAGTGAAGGCCCTTGGCCATCAGCAGGCATGTTCCTTCTTGACAGCCCAGCGGGGAGGTGACAGCACAAGATCTTTCCAAGTATGTTGGTGTCCAAATCCCGAAGAGGAACACCTAGCAAATCTGGTTTCTGGATCAACTGGCATGATTATGAAATCCGGGGCATCAGCAGGTCTCTCATGACTGTGGCCAGATGTCAAGTGGTGTCAATCAA